TTTTGCTTTGTATGTTTTTTATCTTTGGGAAAATCAATATTTTTCATTATTATTAAATTAGAACCAAGCCATAAATACTATATAATTTAAGAAAAAACTAATAAATTAAGCTGTAACAAGAGTACTTTGTTGGTTGAAAGTATTATTTTGTCAGTGTTGTGAATAGTCTGAGTCGACTCTATAAATAACAGTAACCTGTCAGGGAAAGTTCACGTCTATTGTTACTGAGAAAAACAATGCAGAACAATGCAAACAATGCAAAAGCAGTTCGTTTAACCTGTAGGACCAGATAACATAAGCGCCCAAACTATACGCCGTCTAATAGTTCTGAGACAAAGGCTTGATCATTAAGTCATTTCATCTGACATCTGCTGCTCACCGTGGTGTGTGTGTGTCACGCCCGTCTAATCTGATCTGAGATCAGTGTGTGTTTTCCAGTGCGGGCAGATTCAGGCGCGTCGCGGGTGTGTTCGGTATGCTGGCATTTCACTCGACTTTACTGATGTGAAACACACACACACACACACACACACACACAATAAACAGTGTCCCATGTGAACCCAGCTAACCCAAGGAACGTTCTCAGAAGGTTCTCCTAAAGTTATGAGCAAACATTCTTCCAGTAATGTTACAGTTTTTTTAATTGCTTAGACACTAAAAGTGATACTTGAGGCCAACTTAGTGGAACCATTCACTCATATACCTAATCTTTAGACCAACTCTGCAAAACTACAAGGACATTACATGCTTTAAACTCAGTTTGCTATTGTAAAACAAACTTTTTTGCAAAACTCTAAACACAGTTCTCTACATTACACACATCATTCGAAACTAACAGCTCTTTTCTTTAATTTGGGAAACACTGCCATTGAAATGGCACACTCATTTACTGATGACCTACACACAGTGATCATGTGTGAAAACACTAAGACATCATTTGTTCACTTAGTAATCAAAAAAATTACCCCCTTGCATTTCTGTTTACATTGTATCTATATTTTACAAAGTGCTTTATAAATAAAGCTGACTTTCTGACTTGGCTTATATGCATATTCAGTGTGTGTACACACACACACACTCACACTCACACACGCGCACGCACACACTCACACTAGGGGTCCACCAATAAGTGTTGTTCAGGGCCGATGCCGATACCGATTATTACAGACCAAGTAGACCGATAACCGATATTTTGAACCTATATATATATGTCTGGTGTAAAAATTAAAATTAATGTCAAAATTAAGAATAAAAAGGGC